CCAAGCACGTCGGCCTTGCGCTCCAGAGGAAAGACTGTGGTGTAACGAGTGAAGTCGTCGACAAGCACAAGGAAGTAGCGCTCTCGACGCGGCCCAGGGACGGGGGCGGGGCCCCAGACGTCCAGGTGCAGGGTCTGCAGCGGCGCGGCGGTAGGGGGAAACGAGGAGGAGTGAGGGGCACGGCGAAGCCGACCCTCGACACAAGGCGTGCAAGGGGGGGCGGGGGAGGAGGGAAACGCGGGAAGAGAACCTGGGAGACCAAGGACAAGACCGTGCTGGGACATGTGGCGCAGACGCGGGAGCGCAGGGTGACCTAGGCGGTGGTGCCAAAGGAGGGTCGGGTGAGTGAGGGACCGACAGGAGCAGGCAGCAGCAACCTGGGTGAGCGCTCCAGCCGGGGGGGTCACGGTGTCCAGAGTGAACAGGCCGGACACCGGGTCCCGGGGGAACGTGGACAGGGGGGCACCAGTGGCGGCCTCGGTACAGACAGCATACCGCTCGTGACCAGGGAACGTAGTGGTGACGCCAAGGTCCTGGAGGCAGCCGACACCAACTAGGTTCCTGGAGAACGAGGGGATATGCAGACCTGTGAGAGTGCCCAAAGGAACCGCCGGACAGGGAAGGGTGGTGGAACTGCGGGCGAGTACCGGACCGCCGGAGGGGTCAGCAAGAGAAACGGCAGCAGGAACAGGAAGCGGCGTCAGGGTGGTGAAGTCGCGGAAGAAACACCGAGAAGCGAAGTAGAGGCGTCTGGCGTCGGAACGACTGCGGAAGCACCAAGACTACACAAGGCAGAGGATCCTACGCCTGACGCAGTAGGGGAGGCTATGCTAGGTACACGTACACTAGGCAACAGTGAGTAATAAGCGGGAAGCACACTAAAGTCATCAGCATACATCACATGCAGAGCAGAAAGAATGGCAGCCATGTCCATATCAAAGATCTGAATCTTACGACTAAGCAAACTGTGCCAGTCCGTGAGGTCTGGCGACGGGACGAAGCGCTGACGAAAGAGGTCGTCCAGGCGACGAAAACAGCGGGGAGTGGAGTGACCGATCTTACCGTAAACGAAGCCGCGGCGAGGACCGGTCTGGATCTGGTACTGACAACGCCCACCGCCAGAGCCACCACTCGGCACACCACCACGCGCCCAGCCACCGCCAGCGCCGGGCCACCCGGGCGGAAGGACACTCGTCTGCCGCGTCTGCGACGGCTGCTGCGGCTGCTGCGAAGGCTGCGACTGCGGCTGCTGCAACTGCAGGGGCGGCGGCTCAGCTGGACTGGGCAGGGTCCCCTCGTCCGCTCCAGCACCAGACGACCCGACCGCACCACTACCCCCTCCCGCACCCCCGCCTCCACCTCCGCCGCGCCCAACCTTGGGGCGGCGGCCCTTCCCCGAACGAAACTGCGCTGCAGCAGCAGTCTCAGCCACTGCGGCAGAGCCGTCAGAGAAGGTACACTGAGCGGGGGCACAACCCTGAAAGATAGGGACCGGCACGACACTGCTCGCCTGGGCGATGGAGCGGTGACGGGTCTCTATCACCGTCAGGGTGTCTACAAAGTCAGTGAGGGTGAGGTCTGTGGGGTGAAGGCTAAGGAAGCGGTCGCGGGCGACAGCAAGGCGGTCAGGGAGGCGGGTGGCAAGCAGGTAGAGGGTAGAGGTAATGGGCGGCTGGTGGGCTCTAAGCTGTGAGTCAGTGCAGGCAGCGCGCCAGGTCTCATCTATCGAGCGCAGGTGGGCAGCGAGGTCAGAGACAGTGGGGAAAGATGCAAGGTCAGGAAAGAGCATCGGGAGGATCAGGCGACCCACCGAGGCAGCCGGAGGGGTGGAATAGCGCTGGATGACAGCATCTAAGTATGCCTGAGCAGTGGTGAGGGACCTAAAGCGAGGGCGCTCGGACGGGGGAAGGGCGTTGCTAATGGCAAGCTGCGCGACAGCATCGCGAGAAAGCCAGACAGAGCGCGCACGGGCAGTGGCAGCAATAGACTCGCGCTCAGTGGGGGTGGATTCAGCAGGCAGAATAGCAGGGGGATCTGGGCAGGGGAGCGTACCGTCAAGGTGTGCGGAAAGCGGTTCACCATCCTGCCGCTGGCCAGTGAGTTGGCGGCGGAGGTCGGCAAGCCACGCCTCGAACTCCAGAGGCTGGCCTTCAGCGTCGAAGCGAAGCTCCGCCGCCATCAGGAACAGTGCAGTGCGGTGCAGGGCAGTGCAGCAAGGTGGAGTGCGGTGCAGTGCGGTGCCAGGCAGTACGGTGTGGTGCGGGGCGGTACGGTGCAAGGCAATTCAGGGCGGGGGGGGAGGAGGGGGGGGGGAAACCGTACCAGTGAGGAGGACCGGGGCCGGGGTAGGGACGAGCGCAGGGGCCGGGCCGGTGCAACGGGGCCGGGCTGGTGCGACGGGGCCGGGCGGGCGCGACGGGGCCGGGCTGGTGCGACGGGGCCGGGCGGGTGCGTCGGGGCCGGGCTGGTGCGACGGGGCCGAGCAGGTGCGTCAGGGTCGGGCCGGTGCGACGGTGCCGGCCGAGCGGGACGGTGGCCCGGGAGGGGCGCACCGGGGCTGGGCGGGCGCGACGGGGCCGGACGGGTGCAACGGGGCCGGGCGGCTGCGAGTGGGCCGGGCAGGGGGCGACGGGGCCGGGCGGGTGCGACGGGGCCGGGCGGGCGCGACGGGGCCGGGCTGGGGCGACGGGGCCGGGCGGGTGCGACGGAGCCTGAAGGCGTGACGGGGCCCAGGAGGGGGCTCGACGCGGCCCAGGAGGGGCGCTACGGGGCCCAGGAGGGGCGCTACGGGGCCCAGGAAGGGCGGTACAGGGCCCAGGGGGGGGCGCTACGGGGCCCAGGAGGGGCACGACGGGGCCCAGGAGGGGCGCTACAGGGGCCCAGGAGGGGCGCGACGGGGCCCAGGAGGGGCGCTACGAAGCCCAGGAGGGGCACGACGAGGCCCAGGAGGGGCGCTACGGGGCCTAGGAGGGGCGCGACGAGGCCCAGGAGGGGCGCTACGGGGCCCAGGAGGGGCGCGACGGGGCCTGGGAGGGGTGCGACGGGGCCCAGGAGGGGCGCTACAGGGCCCAGGAAGGGCGGGACGGGGCCCAGGAGGGACGCTACGGGGCCCAGGAGGGGCGCGACGGGGCCCAGGAGGGGCGCTACGGAGCCCAGGAGGGGCGCGACGAGGCCCAAGAGGGGCGCTACGGGGCCTAGGAGGGGCGCGACGGGACCCAGGAGGGGCGCTACGGGGCCCAGGAGGGGCGCGACGGGGCCTGGGAGGGGCGCGACGGGGCCCAGGAGGGGCGCTACAGGGCCCAGGAAGGGCGCGACGGGGCCCAGGAGGGGCGCTACGGGGCCCAGGAGGGGCGCGACGGGGCCCAGGAAGGGCGCGACGGAGCTAGGGGGGTCGCGACGGGGCTAGGGGCACGACGGGGCTAGGAGGGAGACACGGCGGGGCCGAGCTAGGGGGGCGAGCGGAAGCGGTAGGTGGGGGGGATCCTAACCTACGCGTGATACCATATCAGAATTAGAGAAGTGGATGATAGAGTGAGAGTACACACAGATATACCTAAGTGTTGTACCCTCTAAGAGGTGACCCTATACAGTCTATACAAACATGACAAATACACATGTTTGACACACACCCCTAGAAAAAATGGCTCCCCTGTCATTGTCAGGAGTGGCACATTCTGAGCAGGGCGAAACGCATGCCTGCAAAAACAGTCAAAAGTTTAGAGCTACCCAGCCAGGAAGTCTTGGGCAAACTCGGATTACGCAGGGTGACCCCTAGGTTATCGAGGGACTAGCTTGAAACGCGAAGTTGATACACAGGTGGAGAGACTTGCGACGCTGCGACGTTTCCTCAATCGCTGCATACGCCAGTCAAGCCGCCCATGCACAGTACACAAAAAACACCGCCCCATTTCCTGGGAAAATCCTATAGTCCACGTTGCCCCTACCGTACGGCCCGTATTCGTTGTAAGCGAAATCTCTCGCGTCGCCCCCCGGGCTCTCAGGGCATATGGCCTGTACTGTACTGCCTGGGCCGAACTCTTTCACGAGTGTTCCGCAACTGTAGAATATGGCGACATGAACAACGCAGGAAAGACCTTTCCAGCCATTTGTTAGAAACTAACGGTAAGCAGCATTTCCAGTTGTCGCTAACCGCAAGTGTCCGCCAGCCTGGCTGAGACCACCACCATTACACTGTAGTCGATGCCAACGAACGGCCCGTCCCATTGTAATGTAGTGCACTGGGCTCTTGCATGGGGCATAAGCTTGAACATGGTTGTATCCAAACAATGCGTACAGTGGAGTGTACTTTATAGTATAGGCTTAAGCAACATACTCTGAATAATAGCAGTGCATGTTTATGTTTCTACAAACTTATGCTATGGAATACCAAAACAATTACAGAACACGTGGTCACGGGGGTCATCCCGAAATGAAAGCAAGGGAAAGGGGACATTACGAAACTAAAGCAAACAACCACATCACATGACACACTAAGTAAAGAAGCACGCAAGGAGAAGGTGCACGAAGAGCACCGAACACGAGAGGACATATACCTGAACATCCTACGGACCATATTGGATCGCTTCATGAATGTTGCTAATATACTTGCAATATCTTTTGGGAATATTGATATTCAAGAGGACATTGAAAATATTAGGGGATTTGGTGGACTGTACAAGCGATATGCGTACAGTAATTACGTCGTTACGAGCAAGTCTCTCGATGGCATCTCTGCCATCTGCTGTAGGTCAAATGCTGCACGCCGAGCAGGGTGTACAGTACATCGGCGAATGCTATGGTCAAGGTCAACCCATCCGAGAGGTTCATAACGGTTTGGTGTGTTTTATACTGAACAATGGCTTGTGCAGCGCGGTGTGTTCTTGAATCGAAGGTGTATGTCCCTCCTCTCGAGCATTTGCACCCTCGTCTGCTCTGCTGTCAGTTGCCATGCTCGAATGTTCCGTCCGCAGCAGCCATTGGTTCTCTGAACCAGTGACAATTCCCATGTCAAATTTGTTCATTCATGGCGACGGACGCTTCAACCATTGTTGGTTGTTGCAACCGCTGAAGAAACGCGAGGCGGAGACGTAGAACACGCGTCGATCAGCGATTAGGTCAAATGTTGCAACTGTCTAGCGAACGAGGCTCCTCAAGAGGATTTTGCGATGTACATTGAAGAAAAACGTTCCGAGTACCACTCGGGACGCTAGTATCGTCCGAGAAGGGCTGCATGGCCCAAGTTCCAAGAACGGTCGCTGTCACGTCGGCCCGATTCCCAGTCTCTGTAGCCGTTCTTAGAGTTTACAGCGTGAGGTTGCTGCAGGTATCGGCTCGTCAGAGACCGCCGACTTCGTTCGTCCCGTCGACATCGTTCGCCCGCCTGGTAACTCTTTAGGAGAGCGTTTCGCTACGTCATTTGCAGCGCGTCGCTGCTTCATTTGCATCTTTGAGCCCGATGTATTACTAGTCTCGCTAGTTTCTAGTTTCTCTTAAATCCTCGTCTCCTTTCTCTCCTCCCCTGTCCTTCTTTGTCTCTCTCCCGCTCTTTCTCCTCTCTGAGGTTAGTCTCCTTCCTCTCCTCCTCGCCTCACTTCATTAATTTCATCTCACGTGATTCCCCTTCTCCGCCACCTCTGTGGCAGCAGTGGCCGAAGAAACATCATACGCTGACGCACACTGCATCCTTTGGTTTTGGCTCCCCATTCTCGCATTTCTCGGCGCTTCTCAGCAGCATCCCTCCCGGTTCTCTGCGCAACCTCCGCGTTTCTCCGGGCAGCCTTCACGTTTCTCCGGGCAGATTTCAGGTTTCCAGCGTCCTCCCCATGGCTACAGCCAGTTCCCGATTCTCCTCACTCGCGCCGCTGACACGTCAGCAGCGGCCCCCTCTCGACTCGTTTCTTCCGGTCACCATTACTGCTCGTACCTCTGCGCCGGCTGCTCGCTTACCCAACGAACCCCGCAGAAATAGCAGCAGCATGAGGGTTAACCGCAGCATCAGCAGGGAGAGTAACCATAGCAGGGAGAGCAGCAGTGGGGGTCCGCTTTCCAGCACCTCAGCACAGCGAGGCGTGAGCATCAGGGAAGGCTCGCCGAAACAGCCATCGTCTGGAGCAAAGGCGTTTCGTGCGGTGGTGAGCTTTGCAGTGAGGAAGCTGAGGGGTGGAGGTGCATGGGAGGGACAGCATGACGGGGAGGGGCAGCCCAGTGGGCCTGAGGAACGGGATCGTTCCAGCTCGATGGAGATGGGTGTAAGGGTAGAGGGAGTGGTGGAGAGCGGTTCAGAGCGGTCTAATCTGGCTGGTGCGGGTGCAGATAACGGTAGAGTGCGTAGACACAGCAGATCAGGTGCGTGGGAGATGGAAGGAGGGGAGTGCTCGAGGGTAGGAAAGGACGGAAAGAGAGGGTCCGAGGGCGAAACAAGATTTGAGAGCGAAGCAAAGCCAGACACTGAAAGGGGACTTGGCCGGGGGGGACAGTTGGATAGGCGTAAGCCTGACGCCCGGTATGAGTCATCTGAAGGTTCTGATGTCGCGTTCACAGTCTCTAAGTCCGAAGGTTCTTATGTGGTCTCTCAGTGTGAAGGCTGTAATATAGTATCTGTTTCTCAAGGTTCTTATATAGTATCTGAAGGTTCTAATGTAGTATCTGAAGGTTCTAATGTAGTATCTGAAGGTTCTAATGTAGTATCTGAGTCTACAAATGGTGCTGTGAAAGCGCTCAGTGAGGGTATGGAGAGCGCTAGAGCAGCCGAAACTGAAAGCTTCAGGGAAGGGGCGCTGGAGCAGCAGCACGCGTTTCAGCAGCAGCGGCTAAGGGGTGTGCTGGGGCCAGCAGCAGTGGCTGGGGAGAAGCGGGGCAAACTGGGCGTTAGAATCAAGGGGCCTGGGGCACAACCGCAAAGAGCAACTTCAGCCTTGATGCATCCGCCTCCTCTGCCTGTTGAGTCGACTCAAAAGTCTTCTCATGGGGCGTCTCTGATGAACGCTGCATGGGGGCCGGTGTCTGAGGCGCCCCAAAGGTCAACTGCAGGAGGCTTGATTCATCCGCCTTCTCTACCTGTAGGCTTCCCTCCTGGAGATGGGGATGTGGCCGTGGCCGTGGCTCTCAGTGGTTTGGATGTATGTGCAGCTGCGAATGAGGAGAGGGAGGACGAGGGGGAGGAAGAGGAAGGGGGAGAGGAGGGGGGAGAGGAGGGGGAGGAGGGGGAAGATGTGGAGGAGGAAAGTGGAGAAGGGAGTGAAGAGGACGAGAGGTGGGAGGAAGAGGAGGCGGAAGAGTCACGCGGGGAAGTGGGAGAGAAGAAAGCAGAGCGCACGAGCGTGTTGCGCCGAGGACTGGCTGTCTCTTCCCGCACACTCTCCTGGCTCTCTGATGTTGTTGTCTCGCCCGCTCTCAGCTTCACAGGCCCGCCGGGTAGGTCTCCCCGCCGCCAGGTAGGTCTAGTATGCCATGCTGCTTTGGTCCGAGCCTCAGAGCCAGGCTTGTGAGGCGTATCTTCTGCATCTGAAGTCCCGAGCGTGTTGCGCCGAGGACTGGCTCTCTCCTCCCGCACGCTCTCCTGGCTCTCTGATGTTGTTGTCGGGCGCGCTCTCAGCTTCACATGCCCGCCCGGTAGGTCTTCCCGCCGCCCGGTAGGACTAGTACGCCATGTAGCTTTGCTCCGAGCCTCAGAGCCAGGCTTGTGAGGCGTGTCTTTGGCGTCTCAAGTAACAGATGTGTTCCGCCGAGGACTGGCAGTCTCTTCCTGCACAGAAAACGGCATGGTAAGAGTATACTATTGAGGCGCCTCAAAAACTACCCCTAGCCCGAGACGTGACGACACACATGTGTACTCGTCTCGAATCAAGTACCAGATGTGTTGCGCCGAGGACTGGCCGTGTCTTCCCACACGCTCTCCTGGCTCTCTGATGCTGTTGTCTCGCCCACTGACAGCTTCACAGGCCCGCCTGGTAGGTTTCTCTGCCGCCAGGTAGGTCTCTCTGCCGCCCGGTAGGACTCTCTGCCGCCCGGTACGGTAGGTCTCTCTGCCGCCCGGTAGGTCTCTCTGCCACCCGGTAGGTCTCTCTGCCGCCAGGTGGGTCTCTCTGCCGCCCGGTGGGTCTCTCTGCCGCCCGGTAGGATTCTCTGCCGCCCGGTAGGTCGCTCTGCCGCCCGGTAGGTCTCTCTGCCGCCCGGTAGGACTCTCTTCCGCCTGGTGAGTCTCTCTGCCGGCCACAGCTGTTCAGTACTCTGTGCGTCTTACCCTCCTCCACCACTCCACGTGTCTCCCCCCTCCCCCCACCCTAGTGGCCCGCGCCTTCAACTCGCTGCCTCGCATCCGCATGGGCGTGCTGCTGGACGTGGCGAGGAGCGTGAGGGCCAGTGCGGGCGGCATGGGGGCGTGGTCCATGCGGGACCTCACCCACGGGCTGTACCTGCTGTCGCTGCAGCATGCTCAGGAGAGGGCAGTGGATAGCGTTGCGTCAACGCCAGTCACAGACGAGCAGACCGTAAGCAACAGGCATGGGGGCATGGGGCGTGGGGGCGTGGTCGATGCGGGATCTCACCCACCGGCTGTACCTGCTGTCGCTGCATGTGGAGGAGAGGGCTGTGGACAGTGTTGCATCAGCACCAGTGGTAGATGAATTACTGTGAGTGCAAAGTGGTGAGACATGGGGGCATGGTTGGCGCTGCGCCTCTCCCACAGGCTGTACCTGCTGTCGCTGCAGCATGCGGAGGAGAGGGCGGTGGATGGTGTTGCGTCCTCTCCAGTGACAGATAATTTTTTTAGGCGCCTCAAAAGTCCTCTCCAGTGGCAGATAAACAGACCATGAGTGAGAAATAAGGTGAAGCATGGTCTGTGCAGCACCCTCACCTCAACCACGGGCTGTACCTGTGTCGCTGCTGTCACCCATGGTCAAGAGAACGCTGCAGACAGTGCTGCATCAACGGCAGTGACAGACGAGCAGACAAGTGTGAGTGTGCTGGTCAACACAGGTACATATTCCGTTCCTGCCTGCTGACCTTCCTTCACTTGCTCCCTTGTCTCTCCCACAGGCCAACGACCGAATCTACCACTGCAAGTTCGCCTGGACATTCACGTTTTGAGGTGCCTCAAAACTTCGCCTGGACATTCACGTTCTCTTTAGTCACTTTCCTTTCCTTTCATCACTCATGTCCCTTCATTCTCTCATTCTCTCATTCTCTCATTCTCTCATTCTCTCATTCTCTCATTCTCTCATTCTCTCATTCTCTCATTCTCTCATTCTCTCATTCTCTCATTCTCTCATTCTCTCATTCTCTCATTCTCTCATTCTCTCATTCTCTCATTCTCCCGCCTTCCGCAGGTCCAGGATCTGATATACCACTGCGAGTTCACTTTCGAGTCGACTCAAAAGTCACTCACGTCCCTTCATTCTCCCGCCTTCCGCAGGTCCAGGATCTGATATACCACTGCGAGTTCGCCCGGGCGTCTATAGCCACGACGCACCGAACGATAGCACAGGCATGCATGGTTCGGCCGAACCGCATCATCAAGATCGTGCCCAAGGTGAGACATGTCTTGGAGACTGGTCAATTCTTGAGATGTCTCAAAACACTTGCCCAAAGTGAGACATCTCCAAGCCGTCACTTTGAATGCGGAAGAACCCGGAGTGATGCCTCTAGAAGACTCAGTCCTGGCTTCTCCTGAGCCGACTCAAGCTCTGACTTTTCACTCTTTTCTCTCCTCTCTCTCGTTTCTCTTTTCTCTCCTCTTTCTTGCCGCAGGCTCGGTACGGCAGGCCGGCCTACTTCATAGCGCTGGACGACAAGCGCCGTCTCGTAGTGGTGTCGTTCCGCGGGACGAGGTCGGCACACGACATGCTGACAAACCTTGCCGCCCACTCCGTCCACGTGTCCACTGTTCAGAGTGCCGTGGAAAGAGCAGCAGAGGGGGAGGCGAGGGTAGGAGGAGGAGGGGGAGGAGAGGGAGGAAAAGAGGGAGGAGGTGGTATGGGAAGGGGGGGAGAAGAGCGATCGGGGTCTGCACAGAGGAAGGGGGATTGGAGAGGAGGAAACGAGGGGTTGAGGGAGGAGGTAGGAAGTGGAATTGTTGAAGGGGAGGAAGGGGAAGGTGATTTCTTCATAGAGAGTGACGGGATGGAAGGAGCCAGCCGGGTGAAGGGGATGGGTGTGGGGAGTGGGCAATATGGCAGGAGGAGCGAGGGGGATAAGAGAGAGGAGAGGAAAGGAGAGGAAAGGAGGAGAGAGGGAGGGAGGAGCAAGGATGGGCAACAACCAAAGGAGGAATCGATGGAGGACGTAGCGCACAAGGGAGTGGGCAAGGGGGCGGACAGGAAAGGAAGGTGGCCGGAGGAGGACCGGATGGAGGACGTAGTAGGAGAGGAGGAGCGTCGTGACATGGACGAAGTCATCGCCTTCGGGCACTATGGCATGGTTCAGGCAGCTGAGACCTTCGTGCACGAGGAAGCCCCTCTCCTGCGCCATCTCCTCGCCCACCACCCAGGCTACGACCTGCGCTTGATCGGGCACTCTCTTGGGGCGGCCGTGGCGGCACTGGTGACCATTCTGCTCAGGCCGCAGGCGGAGGTTCTGCTGGGGGTGGCGAGCGGGAGGGTGCGGTGCGTGGGGTTCGCCACCCCGCCCTGTGTGTCAAGACACCTGGCGTTATCATGCGGCTCCTTTATCACTACGGTGGTGCTACAGGTAAGCTCGTCCAAGCATGAGGTATCTCCCCCCTCCTCCGCCATCTCCTCTCCCACCAGCCGGGCTATGACCTGCGCTTGATCGGGCATTCCCTGGGGGCGGCGGTGGCGGCGCTGGTGACCATTCTGCTGAGGCCGCAGGCGGAGGCTCTGCTGGGGGTGGCCAGTGGGACGGTGCGGTGTGTTGGATTTACCACACCACCGTGTGTGTCCCGGCACCTGGCGCTCTCCTGTCGGTCCTTTATAACAACCATGGTGCTGCAGGTGAGGGTGAGGGTGCTGCTGAAAGTGAGGGAGGTGCTGCAGGTGAGGGTGAGGGTGCTGCTGAAAGTGAGGGAGGTGCTGCAGGTGAGGGTGAGGGTGCTGCTGAAAGTGAGGGAGGTGCTGCAGGTGAGGGTGAGGGTGCCGCTGCGTGTGCGTGTGGAAGCCTCTCTTCTGCTGTGCCCGCAGGCCGAGGCTCTGCTGGGGGTGGGGCAAGTGGGAGGGTGCAGTGCGTGGGGTTTGCCACCCCACCCTGTGTTCCCGGCACCTGGTGCTCTCCTGTCGCTCTTTCATCATCACAATCGTGCTGCAAGTAAGCTCCTTTGTGCGTAAAACATCCCCCCCCCTTGGCAATCGTTCGTCACCACCTGGCACTCCTCCCTTCCCTCCCCCTCCTCTCCTTCCCCCCGAGCCTCGCCCCTCGTGTCCCTCCCCCTTGACCCCACCAGGTCGACATAGTGCCTCGACTCAGCCTGCACGCATCGGAGTCGAACCACCAGGACAGCATAGTGCAACGAACTCACCACTTTCTCTCCCTCGCCCGTCCCCTTTCGCTACCAGGATGCCATAGTGTCGTGCACGCCTTGGAGTCTCTGTGCAACAAACTCACCATTGTCTCCCCTTCCTGCTCTCCCTCCCCTCGTGCTGTGCTGTGCTGTGCTGTGCTGTGCTGTGCTGTGCTGTGCTGTGCTGTGCTGTGCTGTGCTGTGCTGTGCTGTGCTGTGCTGTGCTGTGCTGTGCTGTGCTGTGCTGTGCTGTGCTGTGCTGTGCTGTGCTGTGCTGTGCTGTGCTGTGCTGTGCTGTGCTGTGCTGTGCTGTGCTGTGCTGTGCTGTGCTGTGCTGTGCTGTGCTGTGCTGTGCTGTGCTGTGCTGTGCTGTGCTGTGCTGTGCTGTGCTGTGCTGTGCTGTGCTGTCTGTGCTGTGCTGTGCTGTGCTGTGCTGTGCTGTGCTGTGCTGTGCTGTGCTGTGCTGTGCTGTGCTGTGCTGTGCTGTGCTGTGCTGTGCTTGCTGTGCTGTGCTGTGCTTGTGCTGTGCTGTGCTGTGCTGTGCTGTGCTGTGGCTGTGCTGTGCTGTGCTGTGCTGTGCTGTGCTGTGCTGTGCTGTGCTGTGCTGTGCTGTGCTGTGCTGTGCTGTGCTGTGCTGTGCTGTGCTGTGCTGTGCTGTGCTGTGCTGTGCTGTGCTGTGCTGTGCTGTGCTGTCTGTGCTGTGCTGTGCTGTGCTGTGCTGTGCTGTGGCTGTGCTGTGCTCTGTGCTGTGCTGTGCTGGTGCTGTGCTGTGGCTGTGCTGTGCTGTGCTGTGCTGTGCTGTGCTGTGCTGTGCTGTGCTGTGCTGTGCTGTGCTGTGTGCTGTGCTGTGCTGTGCTGTGCTGTGCTGTGCTGTGCTGTGCTGTGCTGTGCTGTGCTGTGCTGTGCTGTGCTGTGCTGTGCTGTGCTGTGCTGTGCTGTGCTGTGCTGTGCTGTGCTGTGTTGTGCTGTGCTGTGCTGTGCTGTGCTGTGCTGTGCTGTGCTGTGCTGTGCTGTGCTGTGCTGTGCTGTGCTGTGCTGTGCTGTGCTGTGCTGTGCTGTGCTGTGCTGTGCTGTGCTGTGCTGTGCTGTGCTGTGCTGTGCTGTGCTGTGCTGTGCTGTGCTGTGGCTGTGCTGTGCTGTGCTGTGCTGTGCTGTGCTGTGCTGTGCTGTGCTGTGCTGTGCTGTGCTGTGCTGTGCTGTGCTGTGCTGTGCTGTGCTGTGCTGTGCTGTGCTGTCTGTGCTGTGCTGTGCTGTGTGGCTGTGCTGTCTGCTGTGCCTGTGGCTGTGCTTGTGCTGTGCTGTGCTGTGCTGTGCTGTGCTGTGCTGTGCTGTGCTGTGCTGTGCTGTGCTGTGCTGTGCTGTGCTGTGCTGTGCTGTGCTGTGCTGTGCTGTGCTGTGCTGTGCTGTGCTGTGCTGTGCTGTGCTGTGCTGTGCTGTGCTGTGCTGTGCTGTGCTGTGTGCTGTGCTGTGCTGGTGCTGTGCTGTGCTGTGCTGTGCTGTGCTGTGCTGTGCTGTGCTGTGCTGTGCTGTGCTGTGCTGTGCTGTGCTGTGCTGTGCTGTGCTGTGCTGTGCTGTGCTGTGCTGTGCTGTGCTGTGGTGCTGTGCTGTGCTGTGCTGTGCTGTGCTGTGCTGTGCTGTGCTGTGCTGTGCTGTGCTGTGCTGTGCTGTGCTGTGCTGTGCTGTGCTGTGCTGTGCTGTGGCTGTGCTGTGCTGTGCTGTGCTGTGCTGTGCTGTGCTGTGCTGTGCTGTGCTGTGCTGTGCTGTGCTGTGCTGTGCTGTGCGTGCTGTGCTGTGCTGGTGTGCTGTGCTGTGCTGTGCGTGTTGCTGTGCTGTGGCTGTGCTGTGCTGTCTGTGCCTGTGCTGTGCTGTGCTGTGGCTGTGCTGTGCTGTGCTGTGCTGTGCTGTGCTGTGCTGTGCTGTGCTGTGCTGTGCTGTGCTGTGCTGTGCTGTGCTGTGCTGTGCTGTGCTTGTGCTGTGCTGTGCTGTGCTGTGCTGTGCTGTTGTGCTGTGCTGTGCTGTGCTGTGCTGTGCTGTGCTGTGCTGTGCTGTGCTGTGCTGTGCTGTGCTGTGCTGTGCTGTGCTGTGCTGTGCTGTGCTGTGCTGTGCTGTGCTGTGCTGTGCTGTCTGTGCTGTGCTGTGCTGTGCTGTGCTGTGCTGTGCTGTGCTGTGCTGTGCTGTGCTGTGCTGTGCTGTGCTGTGCTGTGCTGGCTGTGCTGTGCTGTGCTGTGCTGTGTGCTGTGCTGTGCTGTGCTGTGCTGTGCTGTGCTGTGCTGTGTGCTGTGCTGTGCTGTGCTGTGCTGTGCTGTGCTGTGCTGTGCTTGCTGTGCTGTGCTGTGCTGTGCTGTGCTGTGCTGTGCTGTGCTGTGGCTGTGCTGTGCTGTGCTGTGCTGTGCGTGCTGTGCTGTGCTGTGCTGGTGGCTGTGCCTGTGCTGTGCTGTGCTGTGCTGTGCTGTGTGTGCTGTGCTGTGCTGTGCTGTGCTGTGCTGTGCTGTGCCTGTGCTGTGCTGTGCTGTGCTGTGGGCTGTGCTGTGCTGTGCTGTGCTGTGCTGTGCTGTGCTGTGCTGGTGCTGTGCTGTGCTGTGCTGTGCTGTGCTGTGCTGTGCTGTGCTGTGCTGTGCTGTGCTGTGGCTGTGCTGTGCTGTGCTGTGCTGTGCTGGTGCTGTGCTGGTGGCTGTGCTGTGCTGTGCTGGCTGTGCTGTGCTGTGCTGTGCTGTGCTGTGCTGTGCTGTGCTGTGCTGTGCTGTGCTGTGCTGTGCTGTGCTGTGCTGTGCTGTGCTGTGCTGTGCCTGTGCTGTGCTGTGTTGCTGTGCTGTGCTGTGCTGTGCTGTGCTGTGCTGTGCCTGTGCTGTGCTGTGCTGTGCTGTGCTGTGCTGTGCTGTGCTGGTGCTGGTGCTGTGCTGTGCTGTGCTGTGCTGTGCCTGTGCTGTGCTTGTGGCTGTGCTGTGCTGTGCTGTGCTGTGCTGTGCTGTGCTGTCTGTGCTGTGCTGTGCTGTGCTGTGCTGTGCTGTGCTGTGCTGTGCTGTGCTGTGCTGTGCTGTGCTGTGCTGTGCTGTGCTGTGCTGTGCTGTGCTGTGCTGTGCTGTGCTGTGCTGTGCTGTGCTGTGCTGTGCTGTGCTGTGCTGTGCTGTGCTGTGCTGTGCTGTGCTGTGCTGTGCTGTGCTGTGCTGTGCTGTGCTGTGCTGTGCTGTGCTGTGCTGTGCTGTGCTGTGCTGTGCTGTGCTGTGCTGTGCTGTGCTGTGCTGTGCTGTGCTGTGCTGTGCTGTGCTGTGCTGTGCTGTGCTGTGCTGTGCTGTGCTGTGCTGTGCTGTGCTGTGTGTGCTGTGCTGTGCTGTGCGTGCTGTGCTGTGCTGTGTGCTGTGCTGTGCTGTGCTGTGCTGTGCTGTGCTGTGCTGTGCTGTCTGTGCTGTGCTGTGCTGTGCTGTGCTGTGCTGTGCTGTGCTGTGCTGCTGTGCTGTGCTGTGCTGTGCTGTGGCTGTGCTGTGCTGTGCCTGTGCTGTGCTGTGCTGTGCTGTGCTGTGCTGTGCTGTGCTGTGCTGTGCTGTGCTGTGCTGTGCTGTGCTGTGCTGTGCTGTGCTGTGCTGTGCTGTGCTGTGGCTGTGCTGTGCCTGTGCTGTGCTGTGGCTGTGCTGGTGCTGTGCTGTGCTGTGCTGTGCTGTGCTGTGCTGTGCTGTGCTGTGCTGTGCTGTGCTGTGCTGTGCTGTGCTGTGCTGTGCTGTGGCTGTGCTGTGTGGTGCTGTGCTGTGCTGTGCTGTGCTGTGGCTGTGCTGTGCTGTGCTGTGGCTGTGCTGTGCTGTGCTGTGCTTGTGCTGTGGCTGTGCTGTGCTGTGCTGTGCTGTGCCTGTGCTGTGCTGTGCTGTGCTGTGCTGTGCTGTGCTGTGCTGTGCTGTGCTGTGCTGTGCTGTGCTTGTGCTGTGCTGTGCTGTGCTGTGCTGTGCTGGTGCTGTGCTGTGCTGTGCTGTGCTGTGCTGTGCTGTGCTGTGCCTGTGCTGTGCTGTGCTGTGCTGGTGCTGTGCTGTGCTGTGCTGTGCTGTGCTGTGCTGTGCTGTGCTGTTTTTGCTGTGCTGTGCTGTGCTGTGCTGTGCTGTGCTGTGCTGTGCTGTGCTTGCTGTGCTGTGCTGTGCTGTGCTGTCTGTGCTGTGCTGTGCTGTGCTGTGCTGTGCTGTGCTGTTTGCTGTGTGTGCTGTTTTGCTGTGCTGTGCTGTGCTGTGCTGTGCTGTGCTGTGCTGTGCTGTGCTGTGCTGTTGTGCTGTGCTGTGCTGTGCTGTGCTGTGCTTGCTGCTGTGCTGTGCTGTGCTGTGCTGTTTGCTGTGCTGTGCTGTGCTGTGGCTGTGCTGTGCTGTGCTGTGCTGTGTGCTGTGCTGTGCTGTGCTGTGCTGTGCTGTGCTGTTGCTGTGCTGTGCTGTGCTGTGCTGTGGGTGCTGTGCTGTGCTGTGCTGTGCTGTGCTGTGCTGTGGTGCTGTGCTGTGCTGTGCTGTGTGTGCTGTGCTGGTGGCTGTGCTGTGTGTGGCTGTGCTGTGCTGTGCTGTGCTGTGCTGTGCTGTGCTGTGTGCTGTGCTGTGCTGTGGCTGTGCGTGCGTGCTGTGCTGTGCTGTGCTGTGCTGTGTGGCTGTGCTGTGCTGTGCTGTGCTGTGCTGTGCTGTGCTGTGCTGTGCTGTGCTGTGGGCTGTGCTGTGCTGTGCTGTGCTGTGCTGTGCTGTGCTGTGCTGTGCTGTGCTGTGCTGTGCTGTGCTGTGCTGTGCTGTGCTGTGCTGTGTCGTGCACTGCCAGGACGACATAGTCCCTCGTCTGAGTCTGCACGCGTTGGAGTCTCTGCGCGCTGAAGTGGTGGCGTGCGCTGCTGCACAGCCCAGCAAGGAAAAGCGTGCCCGCGGCGCCACTTCAAACACCACCACCAGCAGCAGCGATAGCAGCAGCAGCAGCAGCAGCAGCAACAGCAGCAGCGACCGCAGCAGCAACGGCGCCAGCAGCAGCAACAGCAGCAGTGTCGGCGCCAGCGGCACTGCTCCTGACAACGTTCCGTCTGTTCAAGAGCCAGAAGTGGTGACATCCGCCCTCCAACAAGACACGGTTGCCAAGGCTGATGTGGCCGGTTACACGGGACGCGAGCTGACCAGTGCTACGATACTCCACGACTCCATTGCTTCCAATGGCCCGGCATTCAGTGACCCTGCAACCAGTAATCCGTTGCTTTCTCCCCCTGACTTACCTCCTCACTCCCCCCCTCACTCGTTCTCGCACTCCCCGTCTCTCTCACACTCCTCCACCTCTTTCCCCTCCTCTTCATCTGCCTCTTCCCCCACCACCACCACTGACACTACCCCTCACGACCTCACTCTCTCCACCTCCTGCTCGTCCGCTCTTGACGCTCTCTACACCTTCTCCTCCTCCCTCCCCTCCTCCTCCCCCGGCTTCTCCTCCTCCTCTCGCTCCCCTCTCTCTGTCTCTCGCACCGGCCTGCCTCCCCACACGCCTTCCCCTGACCCTCCCTCGCTCTTGACCAAGCTCAAGTCGAAGAGGTGGAGGAAGCAAAAGAAGCAGAGGGAGTTGAGTCGACACGAGATGCTGCTCCTGCACCAGGTGCAGGAAGAGTGCTGTGTTTCGGACGAGCGTGAGTCTTATGGTGGAGCAGCTAGTAAAGAGGATGGATGGGATGACTTGAGTCAGCAGCCATGGCAACCACAGCAATCATGGGAGCCACAGCAACCACTGGAAGGTGGGGAGAATGACTGGGACACTGGATTGATCCCGCTAGACGCTGGAGAGGAGGCTAGCCGCAGCCAAGGGACGAGTAGTGACATGGGAATGCCCAGTGAAGACGATGGAGGTGCAAATGGTGCTGACGATTCTTCAGTTGCAAGTGGCGATCATCTCACCCTGCAAGGTTTGGAGCAGAATGACGATGGCAAAAGTGAGGTGCTTCAAGAGGTCGTCCCTTCTAATGGCGAGGCGGCATCTGCGGACGTGGTAACCATGGACACGCACAGGCGTTACGCCCCGGGAAAGCTGTACCATATAGTGAGGGATAAGAAGGATGGGGAGCATGTGTTGCTGGAGGCCCAAGGGAGCTCTCGATTTGAGAGGATTGTTTTGTCGTCCTCGCTATTGTCAGACCATCTTGTGAATTCGTACATGTATGCATTGCGAGATGTGTTGAAAGGCATGTAGAAATCATTTTGTTTTGTGCTTGTATATAGTCGACTTGGATTGGTTTTTGAGATGGGAGAATTGCCATTCTACTATTTATTGCTTGATTTTTTCTGTCCGACAGTCTGGTTCGCGGGGGTGACTCAAGCAGCAGGTGGGTACGCCAAGTAGCAAAAAAAAAAAACCATAAAACCGGAAATCATCCCTTCTTGATCGTCACATGTTTTATCACGTATAGCGCGTTCTCTCGATGTGTATCAGGGAGCTAAGCGGATAAACTTTTGGCGGACAAAATTCTCCGACAGCAGTGGTGTCAGCATGCTAGCTTTTGAGGTGGCAACAGCAGATCATGTCCCTCCCATATATCCTCAATGCAGCGTGGTGCCTAGGGGTCCGACCAGCCTTTGTCCGGCCTTCAACCATACTGTACCACGCGAACATCTGGCTGAAAAACGCCGGAACCGTTCTGTAAATTACTGTACCACTCGAACCGTCCAAACTTACGTACAACGCCCTCAGCGTGCCCCTACCCTTCGACGGAAAGGGCTCCTAGGGAATTTCGACATGCTGATCAACCCAGTAAATAAATCCGCCGTGAATTTAGCGAGGATCCTCGGCTGAATGTGTTGGGCCAGCATCAGCTGTCCGTTTCTTGCGCTTTCTGAAATTCAGTCGACCATCTGCTTTCTCTGCCAGCTCGCAACCTGCCAGCTTACAGATCCAATTTCATACTTCGTCTACTTTCTCATTCCTTTTCCCGTCGAGTAGTATCCTGAAATTCCCTTTTGCTCGTCAGCTGGACCCTGGCAGTTCCCTAAACCTATGTAGCTCTTGCGGCGCGTGTAAACTATGTCGGCCGAATTTAAGAGTTCAATTTCTGGTTCAATTTCTGGTAGCTTGATTCCTTCTACTTTCACTGATACTCGCCAAGATGCTGACATGGAACAGCTGCGCGCGTTCATCGACACGTGTCCGCTTCTCGACCACCACTGCCACTGCTTGATGGAGCTCGAGCCTCCCGTTACAGTCACATCTCTCAGCGACGCGCTGCTAGGAACGCTGACGGAAGCGCATGGAAAAGCGCGAGAACACGCAGTACACTCCATCGCCGTTAAGGTCCGTTCGTTTTTAATCGCTACGCGTTTCTCGACCTTCCTATCTCCCTCACATCCCTTTCCCCTTCCCCTCCCCCCGTCCTCCGTCGTTCCCTCTGCCACAAACAGCGCAGTATCCGTGAGCTGGCGGCCGCCCTGTCAGCGGACGCCATGTCACTGGAGGCAGTCGCAGCTGCTCGGCTGCGATTGGGCGACGCTGCAGCCAATCAGAAGCTGTTTGGTGCTGCGAGAATCTCTGCTCTGCTTATAGACGATGGGCTCAGAGGCGGGGTGGCTAATAGCGCGGATTGGAACTGGGGAGCGGGAAGTGGAGGCGGAGAGGGAGAAGGGGGGCGAGGGGAGGGAGGTGCAGGAGAAGGTGGAGGGTCAATGGACGAACAACAGCAGGGGGGGGACGAGCAGCGGAGGGGGGACGAAAAACAGGAGAGGGGGGACGAAAAACAGGAGAGGGGGGACGAAAAACAGGAGAGGGGGGACGAGCAGCAGGGAGGGGAGCAGGGAGAGGGAGGGAGGTGGAGGTGGAGGGGCGTGGCATGGCATGAGGGGCTAGCACCGGTGGTGCGGCGAGTGCTGCGGCTGGAAACCCTAGCAGAAGATATTTTGGTGGGACCTGCGCCAGGTGGCACGTGGACATTGGGCAGCTTCTCCAAGCGGTTCCATGATGCCATCGACCCATACCCTTCTCCTCTATTTTTGAGGCGCCTCAAAACTGGACTCTTCCTCTTGGTCTTCGTAGCCTTGCTTGGTCCACCCTGTTTTCTTCTCTGTTAGGATGATAGTCCTCTTGTTATTCTGTTCGGACCCATCCGTAATCTTCTGCTATCAATCTTTGCTGTCCTGCCAACTTGTGACCTTGTTATCCTTCACTCAAACTTTGCCCGCTTGTTTTTCTTCTCCTTAACCCTTTTCTTTACCCCTTGACTCTCATTGACCCGCGTTGACTCCACTCTGCCGCCTGGAGTGGTTGCCCTCAAGACCATTGCAGCCTCCAGCTGCGGTCTCTTCATCGATCCCTTTGTTCTCCTTAACCCTTCTTGACTCCCCTTGACTTGTTTTGACCACTGTTGACCTTTGTTGACTCCACCCCGCCGCCTGGAGTGGTGGCCTTCAAGACCATTGCAGCCTACCGCTGTGGCCTCTCCATCGATCCATTAGTGACGCCTGCGGAAGTGGAGCTGGGCATTCAAGCCGCGCTGGGTGCGTGCATTCCGCCCTTCCTTCCCTCCCCCCCATCCCCTTCCTTCCAATCCGCCCCGCCCCCCCCCCCTCTCTCGGTCTCTCCGTTGATCCGTTTGTGACGCCTGCTGAAGCGGAGCTCAGCATTCAAGCCACCTTGGAGGGGTTCATCTTGCCCCTTGCTCGTCTCCTTCACATTGTTCTCTTCCTGATAGAAAGCTCAGTTCACTCTCTCTCTCTCTCTCTGACCCTCTTTGTCACTCACTGTCCATACCTCAGCTTCGGTAGCCCGGACCTCGCCGCCGAGCCTCCGCCTGTCCGACCCTCGGGTGATCAGCTTCTGCATCGCCAGTGCTCTTGCTGTGGCTGCTAAGCACCAGATGCCTCTGCAGATACACTGTGGGTGAGTAATCGGTTGGTGGTCATCCGGGTGTAGTCACGAGTCTTGCCGTGGCTGCTAAGCACCAGCTGCCGCTGCAGGTACACTGCGGGCGAGTACACAGCGGGTGAGTAGGGTGAGTACACTGCTGCGGGTGAGCACACTGCGGGTGAGTACACTGCGGGTGAGTACCAGGATGACGTGTCAACTGCGATATCATCAAACGACAAAGTCCAACGGCCAATGTGTAGCAATCAGGCGTAGGAGCTTTGGCCACAGGGAGTTCAACCCGCCATAGTGTTTCAAGTCTCGATGGGACTTTTTACCCTTCCTCCCCCCCCATTCTGAGCTTCAAATTTTACCAAAGGGAGTTCAATCCAACCTGCCATAGTTTTTCAAGCCTTGATGGGTGTTTCATCCATCCCTTCGTCCCCCACATTCTGCATCTCTCCAGCTTTGGCGACAGGGACCTGGACTTGGCAGCAGCCAACCCCCTCTGCTTGCGCCCTCTGCTGGAGTTCAATGAGGGGCTGGTCGAGGAGGAGCAACGGGGGGAGGCGCAACTGGGGCAGGCAGATAGGGAGGTCTGTAGCCCTGGAAGCTACGCTGCGCCTATCGTTCTCCTGCACTCCTGCTACCCGTTCACGAGGGAAGCTTCCTACCTCGCTTCTGTGTACTCCACGGTATGATTTTTTTTTCCTTGGGCGGGGGGGGGGCTGTTGCATTGGCCATTGGGAGCAGGTAGCACAGGATATATTTTGCTGTGAGTGGTGTGGATGGAGGTACTGGAAGCTACGCTCCTGCATTCCTGCTACCTGTTCATGTGAGTGGTACGGAACGAGGTCCTGCTTTTGAGAGTAGGAGTAGTCTTGAGCATAATCTGTAGCACTTGAGGTGCTGCTGTGTGCAGTGGCCTTATTTTGAGGTGCTTCCCTTTCTCCAAGTGTATGTAGTAGACTGCGGTCTGGTTTCCAGCAAGCTTCTTTCAAAGTCCCTTGGAAGCTCCTCGGTCTTCCTCCTCTATCCATCTCTCCCTCCAGGTGCATCTTGACTGTGGTCTAGTCTTCAGCAAACTTTCTCTTTCAGGCATGAAAGCAGCTCTCCTTGACTTGCATGGTGTTCTCCTTTTCCTCCATCTCTCCCTCCAGGTGCATCTTGACTGTGGTCTGGTCTTCAGCAAGCTTTCTCTCTTGGGCACGAAGGCAGCCCTCGTAGACTTGCTTGACCTCGCCCCTCTTAATAAGGTTCGTGTCGTGTGCATTATCTCCACCCCCCTTGGCTTGCTTTGACATACTCCCTTTGATATATTCCCCTTAACCGTCTTCCTCTCTTCCTTTTGAAATGCCAACTGTTTGCCTGCCTGCCTCGTCAGGTCATGATGAGCACAGACGCCGTGGGATTCGCTGAACCTTATTACTTGAGTAAGCTGCCAGATGTGATGACATTTAGCAGCACGTTCTTGTTGATGCGACTAAATTTACGCCGCATTCCCAGCCCTTTACCTGACCAGTGCCTCGCCGCTTTTCTTTTTGTCAGGTGCCATGTGGGGTAGGCGCATCCTTTTTCTCGCTCTTTCTTCAATTGTGCAAGGAGGCGACCTTACTCTCCCAGAGGCACTGCATGTTGCTTGTGGACTTCTCCATAACAATGCGCTTCGCCTGTATCGACTCAATATGCCAAGTGTTCGCCACCCCTCGGGCCCTATCACTACGTAAATCCTTGAAAGCCCCATTTTTTAGTAGATGAATACAACAAGTGATGTTGAATGAAGCTAAGTTAAATGGTATTATTTGGTGTGTTATTAAGGTGTTATTATTTCGTATCATAGCCGTTTCCTTCCGTAGTTTCTCAGCTTGTGAGGCATATTTTGCACCAGTAGCGCGTTCGAGCCCCACATTTCCTTCGGTTGGTGCATTCAAGGCCATTCAACAAGTGACAGCTCCGCAAACCGGTTCTATTTTCTACCAATCGTAGCTCGCCAAGGTGCTGGGTATGAAAGCAGAGAAGCTTGGGGGAGGAGCCGCCACCAGCCGAGACCACAAGCTAGGCCAAGTCGCGAAGTCGCGAGCCGCGAATCGCCCTTGTTGTGTTATGGGCAGGAATATCTCAATAAATACGGGAATTTCTGTTGTTGGGGAATAAATTTCTGTTGTTTGTTCCTGCCCTTTGCGCCTGTGTATATTCCCCAGCAACAGGAATTTCCCACATGGGCCTTGGGCGCCCACGTGGCCGAGTTCCAAAATGTTTTTGCTCTGGCTGTGTTCCGCACGGGGCAGCACGAGTCAATCCCCATGTTCCTCCCTCACGATCATGACGACGATCCTGGTGCCGCAACTCCCTTGGTGAACATAAGCCGTTCGATCCACAGAACGTGGAATCCTCCCCTCGTCTTGATTTCTTCGAGTCCCCTCGGTCTCTCCGTGGTTGATTTCTTCGAGTCCCCTCGATGTCAGCTCCTATTTCTTCTTCGTCTGCTTTTCTAGTACTTCTGTTTCCCCCTCCTTTCACGCTTATCGAGGTGGTAGTATTTCTCTAGGAGTTGCACAGGCTGCTAGGATGGCACTCACGTCGCAACCAGTCTTGTGAGCAATATTTGTTTTTTCGTGAAGGTGTAAAAGTCGCGCCAACAACGACTTTAAGTAGTGGCACTTGATGTCGCCCATTTCGGAATGTCCAGAAATGTCGCATTCATAGAATTCGCTGCCCAAGTATCTGGCCCAATTCGAGCTATTTATGCGTCCACACGTGGCTTTAGAAAGTTCGGACTCTTAATTTGCCAAGACAAGGCTTCTTTGTGATGTTTCAAGCTTCGGGGCTCTATCTTCAGGGGCCGGATTACGAGTTCGTCTCGACAGCTCGGAGTCCTATTCCTTGAAGTATAACTTGAAGTTAAAATTGCTGGAAGAGCGCAGCGCCGTTTCTCTTAGCGCCGTCCTCCTCGTTAGGGACGATGGGTCGAGGAAGCGATCGCGACGCGGATTATAGACTGCCGGACAGCAGCCGGTTCGACGAAGAGACCGTGGAGCTGTCGGTCGGCAAGCAGGTGCGTGAAAACAGCCGTCGCCGTCAACTTCACTGCTATGATGGCTGACTGTCATCTCGTCATTCCGACCGCGATATCCGACGTGGATTTATCTGTCGAATGCCGAAGTACTGACATCGTAACACGGCCACGCCGTCAGTTTTAGCGGAACCTCGTCCTCCTGCTGTGCATTGATACCGTGCAAATCGATTGCACTCCCGCGCGATACTGTTGGAGTGGTTCCGCCACCCACGACGGACCATTCAAGACGTGGGGTGACGGCGCGGAAAGAGGAGTGCGCCGGAGGCAATAGTCGCCTCGAGATACCCACGCCCCTCGCATTCTCAGATCACGCGGCACGTCCCTCACGTTCCCATTCTCCTCCTGTGCAGGCCGAAAAGTGGGACTTGCTCTCCCGCGCGAACCCCATGCCCCTCACGTTCGCAAATTCCAGACGTGGCTGCGACGACGCTTCTCGGGCAACCGTTTGGCCGATTCAACCGTTGCGGGGTTCAGGTTGGCTCAAAATCCGTTCCCCTCCGGCCTCTGTACCCACTCGTTTTGCCATCCAACCCCTTCGTGAGATTCGCAGATCAAGCGATTCGTCACGGAGACGTTTCTCGGGCAGCCGTTCTGGCGATTCAACCGGCGCGGCCGCGACGATTCCGCGTCCACCTTCGCGGGGAGATGGCCGAGCGGCGTCAGCTCGGGGGTGTCAGGGGTAACCACGGACGCCAGCTACTCCTACCGGTTTGGGAGGAACGGTGGGGGTTTTAAGGGAGGAGACTCAGTGCGGGGCGGTTCGGTGCGAGGCGAGGCGATGCTGCAGCGGTCGTCAACGTTCGCCATCTGCATGCCGCGGAACATGGAGCTTGCTTCGTTGAGAGTCGTCGATCCGGAAGACGCGTGAGTTGTTAACTGGTGGGGGGTCCTGGAGTCCTTTCTTCCCGCCCTCGTCGATATCCACGTCAATCACCACTTTTTCTCCACGTCAATCTGTTTCTCGCCACTTCCCTTCGTTTCTTCCACTCAATCATCCCATCTCCTCTCCTTCCACCAATCTTCTCTCAAACTTCTCTCCAGCTTCTCCCCTTTCCGTACACCACACGCTCACGCACCATTCCTCGCTTCCTAACTCTTTCTCCTCCCAAGTCCGTATTTCTCTCTCCGTCGCCCCTAGTCTCGAATGGTCCGTCGTGGGTGGCGGAACCAATCCAACACTGGAGTCCTTTCCCCCCCCCCCCGCTGCAATCACACCCTCCACTGCAATCACACCCTCCACTGCAATCACACCCTCCACCGCAATCACACCCCCTTGCTTTCTTCTCTCGTGTTCCTCCCCCCCTGGCCCCCCTGGCCCCCGCTTCCCCGTCCCCGCCAGCTATCTGTTACTATGGGAGCAGGTGACTCTAGCCCTCGGTTTCTCCTCCGCCTTAGTCACGCCCTTCGAGTTCGCTTTAGCTGTGTTTGCAATCCCTTTCCTTGCGTCCCCCCTATGTCTCCCTCCCCCCTATGTCTCCCTCCCCCCTATGTCTCCCTCCCCCCTATGTTTCCCTCCCCCCTATGTTTCCCTCCCCCCTATGTTTCCCTCCCCCCTATGTTTCCTTCCCCCCTATGTTTCCCTCCCCCCTATGTTTCCCTCCCCCTATGTCTCCCTCCCCCCTATGTTTCCCTCCCCCCTATGTTTCCCTCCCCCCTATGTTTCCTTCCCCCCTATGTTTCCCTCCCCCCTATGTTTCCCTCCCTCCTCCATCCAGCTATCTGTTACTATGGGAGCAGGTGACTCTAGCCCTCGGTTTCTACTCCGCTTTAATCACGCCCTTCGAGTTCGCCTTCCTGGCGGACAGCATGCCGGCGTGGCTGACGTGGCTTGACGTGGCCGTCAACTTCTGCTTCCTGGCGGATCTGCTGCTGACGTTCTTCGTGGCATTCAAGGACGGGCACACCTACACCCTCGTCACCAGCCACTGGAAGATCGCTGAGAGGTGACTGGGAGGGAGCGAACGGAGGGAAGGGTAGGGGGGCGGTGGGGGGGTATAAAGGTTTGGGGAGAAGTGGGGAGGAGGGGGAGGGGGGAGGGGGAGGGGGGGGGGAGGAGGGAGGAGGAAGGTTGGTTGGGGGGGCAGTCAACCTGTGTTTCCTGGCGGATCTGACGGCCTGGTTGACGGGGCTGACCTGACGGGCTGGTTGACGTTGCTGCTTTCAAGGACGGGCACACCTGCACCCTCGCCACCAGCCACTGGAAAGTCGCTAGGAGGTGAAGGGGGGGGGGGAGGGTGTGGGGGGGGGGGGGGGGGGCAGAAGGGTGGGGGGAATGAGGATCGGGGACAGAGGGTGGGAAGAGGCGGTTATAGGCAGAGCCAGGAGAGAGGGGGTTGGAGGCAGTCATCCTGTGTTTCCTGGCTGATCTGCTGCTGATGCCTTTGTCGCTTTCAAAGACAGACACACATCCACCCTCGCAGATTCCTGATGGAATTATCCCCTCTCCTCTTCTAACTGCGCTTCCTACTCTCTTCCTCCTCTCTTTCCTCCTCTCTTTCCTCCTCTCTTTCCTCCTCTCTTTCCTCCTCTCTTCCTCTTTCTTTCCTCCTCTTTTCCTCCTCTCTTCCTCCTCTCTTCCTCCTCTCTTTCCTCCTCTCCTGACATGTCCTCTCCCTGTTTCTCCTTTCCTCCCCCCTCCTCCCCACCCTTCCCCCCGCCTTGCTGCAAGTACCTGCTTTTCTACTTCCCTCCCCTCGTGCCGTGCCGTCCCATTCCTCTCGAATGCCGTTCTTCCTCTTCCCCCCCTACTGCTTTCTCTGCAACCACGTTGCTGCAGGCACCTGCTCTCCTACCTACTTCCTCCTGGACCCCCACAACTTTGTCCCCCTTCTCTCCCCTCCCCGCTCTTTCCCCCGCCTCCTTTTCCCTACGGTTTCTCCCCCCTTCCCCTTCCCCTCCCCCTCCCTCCCTCTCCCCCCCTCCCCCCCCCCCTTCTCGTCCCTCTCCTTGCGCCTCAGGTATCTGCTATCCTACTTTCTCATGGACCTCCTCGCTCTGTTCCCATGGAACACTTTCTATCAGGTACGCCTTATATGACTCTCTTTATGTCAGTTAACCTTAGAGAAACTCCCAGCTTTGACTTCTGTTCTATATTGCCCTGCCTTGTTCTCTATCTCCATTTTTTTCTGCCAGGTACGCCTCCGGGGATCCCCCTCGTTGTTTCAGCTGGCAAGTGCCAGGGGAGCGCCCCATCTCCTGCAGTGGCGGCTCTGTACCGGAGTGCAAGGTTATTGTTTTCTTACGCGTTTACAAGCTTCCTCCGCTCGCCCTCCCTCCTCCACCCCCCCCACCCCCCACCCCCCACCCCCCCTCCCCCACCCCCCACCCCCCACCTCCCCTCCCCCACCCCCCCTCCCCCACCCCCCCTCCCCCACCCCCCACCCCCCCGTCATCGTTTCAGCTGGCAGGCGCCAGCGGAGCGGCCAATCTCCTGCAGTGGCTGCTGTGGACCCGAGTGCTCAGGATGCGGCACCTCTTCAGATACTTCCACAGGTGCGTCATGCCGTGGTCCCGTTTTTGGTCAAGCCACAGACCAAAAACTCGCGGGGGGTTTTTCTGAGACATCTGCTTGAGTTACTTCGCCATGCACTCAAGCTCATCCGCTTGAGATGTACATCATGCATGTATCTGGCTGCTTCTTCTACTGCCTCGCCACCACCATGCCACCCGAGGATGAGGGATACACGTGGATCGGATCCCTCAAGCGCCTTCCCTCCTCTCTCTCCCCCATTCTCTCTCCCATCCCTTTCCCTCTCCTGCTCACCTCTCCCTTGTGCCTTGCTCGCCTGAAACTAGACTGCAGAGGGACATTCGACTCAGCTACTTCGCTGTCCGTTTCCTCAAGCTGATCATCGTCGAGATGTACATCACCCACGTGGCCGGCTGCTTCTTCTACTACCTCGCCACCACCATGCCACCCGAGGACGAGGGCTACACGTGGATCGGGTCCCTCACCCTGGGGAACTTTTCGTACGAGAGCTTCCGGGACGTCGACCTGTTCACGAGATACATAACGGCGCTGTACTGGTCGGTGGTCACCATGGCCACCATCGGGTACGGGGACATTCACCCGGTGAACCCCAGGGAGATGATCTTCGCTATGTTCTACATCACCGTGGATCTGATCCTCTCGGCTTACCTTATCGGTGAGTATCCCTGGCTGTCTTTTGAGTCGACTCAAAAATCACCTGTCTAGTCACAACCGATCAGGTCCCTCACCCTGGGGAACTTCTCTTCTCTTACGAGAGCTTCCGCGAGGTGGGCCTGTTCTCGCGATACACAACGGCGCTGTACTGGCCGGTGGTCACCATGGCCACCATTGGGTACGGGGACAGACATCCACCCGGTGAACCCCAGGGAGATGATCTTCGCTATGTTCTACATCACCGTGGATCTGATCCTGTCTGCATACCTCATTGGTAAGCACTCTTTCTCGCTGTCTAGTCAGCAGTCTAGTAGTACGGGTGTCACGCTTCTCCCGCTCTGGCTTCCGCGAGGTGGGCCTGTTCTCGCGACCCTGTGAACCCGAGGGAGATGATCTTCTTCGCGATGTTTTATTTCACCGTGGATCTGATTCTGTCAGCATGTCTTATTGGTGAGTATAATGTTGGTGCCTATTCCACTACTGAGTACTGAGTATCTTCTAATATATGGGGACATTCACCCGGTGGACCCCCGGGTGATGCTCTTTGCCACGTTCTGCATCACAGTGGACCTCATCCTCCGCGCATATCTCATGGGCGAGTTATTCATTAGTGGTTTTGAGACGTCTCGAAACCAACATAGGTCTGAGACGTCTGAAAACCAACCTCCGTCTGAAACGTCTCAAAAGTAACCTACTTAAGCACTTCATCCTGTCGGCATATCTCATGGGTGAGTGAGTCATTAGTAAGCAGCATGTCAGTACTACCGGCGGTGGCAGCAACACAACCAAGTACAGAGGGGGGATGACTCAAGCTACCAAGTACCCTCTCTCTCTTTCCCGTTTTCCTTCTCATTCCCCCCCCCCTCTCCTCTCCCTCTCTTCTCCTCTCGCATCCCTCTGGGAAACATCACTGCACTGGTTGTGAAAGGCAGCAACACTACCAAGAACCGCGAGCGGATGGCGCAGGTTGTCAAGTACATGAACAGGAACCGCATTCCCTTCACCTTCCACTCCCCTCCCCCTCAACCACCCTCTCCCCCTCTCTCTTCCCCCCCCCCCCCCCGCATTTCAGGCAACATCACTGCACTGGTAGTGAAAGGCAGCAACACTACCAAGTACCGCGAGCGGATGGCGCAGGTTGTCAAGTACATGAACAGGAACCGCATTCCCTTCACCTTCCACTCTCCTCCCCCTCAACCACCCTCTCCCCCTCTCTCTTTCCCCCCCCCCCCCCGCATTTCAGGCAACATCACTGCACTGGTAGTGAAAGGCAGCAACACCACCAAGTACCGCGAGCGGATGGCGCAGGTTATCAAGTACATGAACAGGAACCGCATTCCCAGGGTGCTGAGGCACCAGATGCGCCAGGTGAGAACAGCAGCCGTGGCAGATGGGAACAACAGATTTGCCAGGTGAGAACAACAGTTGCGCCAGGTGAGGACAAAAGATGCGCCAGGTGAGGACAAGAGATGCATGGGGCGGGAACAGCACGAAGCAGGTGCTCTCAACTTATGCTCCAGGTGACTTGAGAAGCGCAAACCAGGTGAGAACAACAAATTCAAACCAGGTGGGGGAACAACTCTGTTAACGGCTTCCTTCTCACTGTCCTTCTCCCCGTTTCCTTCTCCGTTATCCCACTTCTCCTTCCTTCTCCTCACATCCCTTCTCACAGCACGTGCGCCTGCAGTTTGAGACGGACCAGGTGGATGACAACATTCTCAACGGCTTCCCCTCTTTCTGCCCTTCCCCATTCTCCCATTCTCCCATTCTCCCACCCCTTATCCTCCGCACCTGCATCCCAACACGTGCGCCTTCAATTCGAGACGGACCAGGTGGAGGACAACGTCCTCAACGTCTTCCCAGTCAGCATCCCTTGTCCTGCTCTCCCCTCTCCCCGTCTACTTCTCCGTAACTCCATTACTGTAGCACGGGCGCCTGCAGTTTGAAACGGACCAGGTGGAGGACAACATCCTCAACGACTTCCCCTCCGCCTTCTGCTCTTCCGTCTTCCCTTTTCCCATTCTCGTGACTCCCTTTCTGCAGCACGTGCGCTTGCAGTTCGAGACGGACCAGGTGGAGGACAACATTCTTAACGACTTCCCAGTCAGCATCCGCCACAAGGTGGCGCGGGCGCTGTATCGGCGGCTGGTGGAGCAGAGCTACATCTTCCAGGGGTGCTCTCCCGAGTTCATCAACCAGATTGTGAGCCGTGAGCCCGGGGAAGCACTTGCAAGGGTGGGTGGGATGGGAGAAGCGCTTGTGATGGTGGGGGTGGGGGAAGCACTTGTGAGGCTGGGGGTGGGGGAAGCACTTGTGAGGCTGGGGGTGGGAGAAGCACTTGTGAGGCTGGGGGTGGGAGAAGCACTTGTGAGGCTGGGCCGGGGAAGCACTTGCGAGGGTGGGGTGGGGGAAGCACCTGTCTGTGAGGGACTACTTTCCCTCCGAGGTGGTCGTGCAGTGCAGCATAGGGACTCCCCCGAGCGGCACACAGCACTGAGACCCATATTACCAACCCCCCGCACACCACCCCCTCAACACACGCTTCCCCCGCACACCCCCCCCTCAACACACGCTCCCCCCGCACACCCCCCCCTCAACACACGCTCCCCCCGCACACCCCCCTGACCAAGGCGATTTTTGAGAATTCTCAAAAATCGCCTACAGCATCACGTCAGCAAGGTCACGCCACGCCAGAGCACTACCCCTCGGAGGTGGTCGTGCAGCACAGAGATTCACCCGAGCACTCCTCTGCATCATCTGCTCGGGCCCCACACCCAAACACAACTCCCACATCTCTCCCCTTCTCCCCTGCTCCCCCTGCTCCCCCCATTTCAGGTCAGCAAGGTCACGCCAGAGCACTACTTCCCCTCCGAGGTGGTCGTGCAGCACCGGAACTCCCCCGAGAGCCTCTACATCACCGGAAACTCATTACACCCCGCTCGCACACACGCACAAGTCCCTCTCCCCTCCCTCCTTCCCTCCCTTCCTCCCTTCCCAGGTCACCAAGGTCACCCCAGAGCACTACTTCCCCTCCGAGGTGGTCCTGCAGCACAGGGACTCCCCCGAGCGCCTCTACATCATCTGCGAGGGCAGTGTGGAGGAAACCTCCCCCTCGACTGGTGACGGGCGGCACTTCTCCGAACTCGGACCCGGCGCAGTGAGTTTCGATTGGCTTAAAAAGTATGCGCGTTATGAGAGTGACGTGTGAGGGAGGGAGTGACTGTCTCGAGTGCGTCTACCCCCGAGCATCATCTGCGAGGGAAGCGTGGAGGAGACGCCCCCTCGTCTGGTGGCGGGCGACACTTTTGAGTCGACTTAAACGTCTGATGGGGGGCGACACTTTTGAATCGACTCAAACGTCTGGTGGCGGGCGACACTTTTGAGTCGACTCAAACGTCTGGTGGCGGGCGACACTTTTGAGTCGACTCAAACGTCTGGTGGCGGGCGACACTTTTGAGTCGACTCAAACGTCTGGTGGCGGGCGACACTTTTGAGTCGACTCAAACGTCTGGTGGCGGGCGACACTTTTGAGTCGACTCAAACGTCTGGTGGCGGGCGACACTTTTGAGTCGACTCAAACGTCTGGTGGCGGGCGACACTTTTGAGTCGACTCAAACGTCTGGTGGCGGGCGACACTTTTGAGTCGACTCAAACGTCTGGTGGCGGGCGACACTTTTGAGTCGACTCAAACGTCTGGTGGCGGGCGACACTTTTGAGTCGACTCAAACGTCTGGTGGCGGGCGACACTTTTGAGTCGACTCAAACGTCTGGTGGCGGGCGACACTTTTGAGTCGACTCAAACGTCTGGTGGCGGGCGACACTTTTGAGTCGACTCAAACGTCTGGTGGCGGGCGACACTTTTGAGTCGACTCAAACGTCTGGTGGCGGGCGACACTTTTGAGTCGACTCAAACGTCTGGTGGCGGGCGACACTTTTGAGTCGACTCAAACGTCTGGTGGCGGGCGACACTTTTGAGTCGACTCAAACGTCTGGTGGCGGGCGACACTTTTGAGTCGACTCAAACGTCTGGTGGCGGGCGACACTTTTGAGTCGACTCAAACGTCTGGTGGCGGGCGACACTTTTGAGTCGACTCAAACGTCTGGTGGCGGGCGACACTTTTGAGTCGACTCAAACGTCTGGTGGCGGGCGACACTTTTGAGTCGACTCAAACGTCTGGTGGCGGGCGACACTTTTGAGTCGACTCAAACGTCTGGTGGCGGGCGACACTTTTGAGTCGACTCAAACGTCTGGTGGCGGGCGACACTTTTGAGTCGACTCAAACGTCTGGTGGCGGGCGACACTTTTGAGTCGACTCAAACGTCTGGTGGCGGGCGACACTTTTGAGTCGACTCAAACGTCTGGTGGCGGGCGACACTTTTGAGTCGACTCAAACGTCTGGTGGCGGGCGACACTTTTGAGTCGACTCAAACGTCTGGTGGCGGGCGACACTTTTGAGTCGACTCAAACGTCTGGTGGCGGGCGACACTTTTGAGTCGACTCAAACGTCTGGTGGCGGGCGACACTTTTGAGTCGACTCAAACGTCTGGTGGCGGGCGACACTTTTGAGTCGACTCAAACGTCTGGTGGCGGGCGACACTTTTGAGTCGACTCAAACGTCTGGTGGCGGGCGACACTTTTGAGTCGACTCAAACGTCTGGTGGCGGGCGACACTTTTGAGTCGACTCAAACGTCTGGTGGCGGGCGACACTTTTGAGTCGACTCAAACGTCTGGTGGCGGGCGACACTTTTGAGTCGACTCAAACGTCTGGTGGCGGGCGACACTTTTGAGTCGACTCAAACGTCTGGTGGCGGGCGACACTTTTGAGTCGACTCAAACGTCTGGTGGCGGGCGACACTTTTGAGTCGACTCAAACGTCTGGTGGCGGGCGACACTTTTGAGTCGACTCAAACGTCTGGTGGCGGGCGACACTTTTGAGTCGACTCAAACGTCTGGTGGCGGGCGACACTTTTGAGTCGACTCAAACGTCTGGTGGCGGGCGACACTTTTGAGTCGACTCAAACGTCTGGTGGCGGGCGACACTTTTGAGTCGACTCAAACGTCTGGTGGCGGGCGACACTTTTGAGTCGACTCAAACGTCTGGTGGCGGGCGACACTTTTGAGTCGACTCAAACGTCTGGTGGCGGGCGACACTTTTGAGTCGACTCAAACGTCTGGTGGCGGGCGACACTTTTGAGTCGACTCAAACGTCTGGTGGCGGGCGACACTTTTGAGTCGACTCAAACGTCTGGTGGCGGGCGACACTTTTGAGTCGACTCAAACGTCTGGTGGCGGGCGACACTTTTGAGTCGACTCAAACGTCTGGTGGCGGGCGACACTTTTGAGTCGACTCAAACGTCTGGTGGCGGGCGACACTTTTGAGTCGACTCAAACGTCTGGTGGCGGGCGACACTTTTGAGTCGACTCAAACGTCTGGTGGCGGGCGACACTTTTGAGTCGACTCAAACGTCTGGTGGCGGGCGACACTTTTGAGTCGACTCAAACGTCTGGTGGCGGGCGACACTTTTGAGTCGACTCAAACGTCTGGTGGCGGGCGACACTTTTGAGTCGACTCAAACGTCTGGTGGCGGGCGACACTTTTGAGTCGACTCAAACGTCTGGTGGCGGGCGACACTTTTGAGTCGACTCAAACGTCTGGTGGCGGGCGACACTTTTGAGTCGACTCAAACGTCTGGTGGCGGGCGACACTTTTGAGTCGACTCAAACGTCTGGTGGCGGGCGACACTTTTGAGTCGACTCAAACGTCTGGTGGCGGGCGACACTTTTGAGTCGACTCAAACGTCTGGTGGCGGGCGACACTTTTGAGTCGACTCAAACGTCTGGTGGCGGGCGACACTTTTGAGTCGACTCAAACGTCTGGTGGCGGGCGACACTTTTGAGTCGACTCAAACGTCTGGTGGCGGGCGACACTTTTGAGTCGACTCAAACGTCTGGTGGCGGGCGACACTTTTGAGTCGACTCAAACGTCTGGTGGCGGGCGACACTTTTGAGTCGACTCAAACGTCTGGTGGCGGGCGACACTTTTGAGTCGACTCAAACGTCTGGTGGCGGGCGACACTTTTGAGTCGACTCAAACGTCTGGTGGCGGGCGACACTTTTGAGTCGACTCAAACGTCTGGTGGCGGGCGACACTTTTGAGTCGACTCAAACGTCTGGTGGCGGGCGACACTTTTGAGTCGACTCAAACGTCTGGTGGCGGGCGACACTTTTGAGTCGACTCAAACGTCTGGTGGCGGGCGACACTTTTGAGTCGACTCAAACGTCTGGTGGCGGGCGACACTTTTGAGTCGACTCAAACGTCTGGTGGCGGGCGACACTTTTGAGTCGACTCAAACGTCTGGTGGCGGGCGACACTTTTGAGTCGACTCAAACGTCTGGTGGCGGGCGACACTTTTGAGTCGACTCAAACGTCTGGTGGCGGGCGACACTTTTGAGTCGACTCAAACGTCTGGTGGCGGGCGACACTTTTGAGTCGACTCAAACGTCTGGTGGCGGGCGACACTTTTGAGTCGACTCAAACGTCTGGTGGCGGGCGACACTTTTGAGTCGACTCAAACGTCTGGTGGCGGGCGACACTTTTGAGTCGACTCAAACGTCTGGTGGCGGGCGACACTTCTGAGTTCACTCAAACGTCTGGTGACGGGCGACACGACTCCGAACTTGGACCCGTCGCGGTGAATTGAGCGTGCCTTGTGAGCACCTAGGGCCTCGGAGCTAGGGCCTCGGAGCTAGGGCCTCGGAGCTAGGGCCTCGGAGCTGGGGCCTCGGAGCTAGGGCCTCGGAGCTAGGGCCTCGGAGCTGGGGCCTCGGAGCTGGGGCCTCGGAGCTAGGGCCTCGGAGCTAGGGCCTCGGAGCTGGGGCCTCGGAGCTGGGGCCTGCCTGTCAAGTGCACCTGCACCTGTCCCCCGAGCGCCTCTACATCATCTGCGAGGGCAGTGTGGAGGAATCCTCTCCCTCCTCTGGTGACGGGCGGCATTTCTCAGAACTCGGGCCGGCCGCGGTGAGTTTCGAGGATGTGGAAGTCTGCAGAGCGCAAAGACCTGCAGGGCACAAGGAAAAGAACTAACGTATGAACTGGCCAAGCACCTCAGCAGCAGCCCACCTGCTTGCCGACTGACAGAACTTGACTTTCCTCGGCATACTCCCCTCTCAAACCCTCTCCCCTCTCCCCCACCCACCCCTCCTCCCCTCTTCTGCTCAGATGTTTTTGAGGCGCCTCAAAAATAGATTCCTCGGCATACTCCCCTCTCAAACCCTCTCCCTTCTCCGCCACCCACCCCTCCTCCCCTGTTCTTCTTAGATGTTTGGCGAAGTGGCAGTGCTCTGCAACATCCCCCAGCCGTTTGACGTCTCAGTCATTGAGTTTTGCCAGGTATGCCGCTCTAGCTGGGGCTGGCTGTGCCAGGTTACCTGCCTTAGCTGGGGCTGACTGTGCCAAGTGTGCCGCGTTCTGATTTGAACGTCCCTTTTACGCCGCTATTTGACTCTTTGAAGCCTTCTGTTGCCTAGATTCGATATGCCAAGTCCTCCCCCGCCCCCCCTCCCACCCCCCCCTCCTCTACCTTCTTGGCCACCAGGTGCTTCGGCTGGAGAGGAACGATCTAAACACAGCGATCAACATGTTCATGGTGGATGGCAGGAGGATAGTCGACAACCTGCTAGAGGTAACTAGTTTTTAGGCGGCTTCTAAACACAGGTGGTTCGACTGGAGAGGGACGATTGAAACACGGCTATCAGCACAGTCATGGCGGACGGGAGGCGAATACTTGACCCTGCTTGAGGTAACTGCTTGAGGTAACTGCTTGAGGTAACTGCTTGAGGTAACTGCTTGAGGTAACTGCTTGATGTAACTGCTTGAGGTAACTGCTTGAGGTAACTGCTTGAGGTAACTGCTTGAGGTAACTGCTTGAGGTAACTGCTTGATGTAACTGCTTGAGGTAGCTGGATTGGTGTTGTTTTTCGTTTGACTCGGCTATCCTTTGATCTTCACACCGAATCTCTAAGTGGTGTTGTTTCTACGTTCACTACGTTCACTTCACGGACGAATACTCCCATCTTGGGACACCCACCTCCATCCTCCCTTTCGTCTACTGTCCGCGATATATCAACCCTCCCCTCCCCCCTTCCCACTCCCCCTCTCCCCCCCCCCTCTCACCACAATCACACAGCGCACCACGGAGACAGGCAGCAAGTACGCACTCTTGGCGTCGGAGATCACCTCGCTGATCGCACAGCAGGAGGCGGAGCTCACCATGACCACCATTCCCCCCCTCTCCTGCCTGTTTCTCCCCCTCCCTCTCCTGCCTGTTTCTCCCCCTCCCTCTCCTGCCTGTTTCTCCCCCTCCCTCTCCTGCCTGTTTCTCCCCCCCCTCACCTGCCTGTTTCTTCCCCCTCCTCTCCTGCCTGTTTCTCCCCCCTCTCCCCTCCCAACATCACATCACAGCGCACCACGGAGACGGGCAGCAAGTACGCACTCTTGGCGTCGGAGATCACCTCGCTGATCGCGCAGCAGGAGGCGGAGCTCACGATGACCACCATCTATGCGGCCTCACGGGGGGACATCGAGCACCTCAAGCGGCTCATCAAAGCCGGGGCGAATGCGGGCAAGGCGGACTACGACGGGCGCACGCCGCTGGTGGGTTTCAGTTTCCGACTCCGGGAAAGAAAGGAGCGAGTAGGTGGGTGATTTTGGGCAGGCGGGGGGGGAAGGGGGCAAGGGGGGTGGGTAAAAGGGGGAGGGGAAGGGGGCATGAGGAAGGGGGGGAGGGGAAGGGGGGCAGGGGAAAGGGGGGAGGGGAAGGGCTGTCATGAGAATGGGACGTTGACAATGGGTGGCCATTCTTCTCTGTCTGCGAATGGGGACGTCTGTCTCCTCCCCGACCTCCCCCATTCCCTCCCCTTTCGCCCTCCCGGTGCCCCTTCATTTCTCCCAGCACTTGGCTGCCAGGGAGCCACAGGGAGCTTCGATGAGCCCGTCTTGTTGCTGGTTGCTCCCCTTGGAGGGCGCAGACGTGAACAGCGCCGGTAGCCTTTCAGGACTGTTTCCTCTTCTTTTGTTTCCCGGCCCTCTCTGTCCTCCTTTCCCGCCACAGCATCTGGCAGCAGCAGGGGGCTTCGACGAGGTGGTGCGGTTTCTACTATTGGAGGGTGCGGACGTCAATAGCATGGATAACTTTGGCACCACGCCGCTGCTTGAGGCGCTGAGGGCGGGCAACGACTCCACGGCCAAGATACTGACAGACAAGAGCGGCACGGTTAACCTGCAGGTGAGTCTGTGTTTTTATGCAGGGAGAATGGAATGGGTTAGGTATTCGATTTCTTACAAAAGCGCTGACGGTAGCAGCGAATCAACAGCGAAGATACTGACAGACAAGAGCGGCACTGCCAACCTGCAGGTACGTGCGATACAGTACCAAGTTTACAGGTGCGTTAAAGAGGCTGCTTGTGAACAGATCATCTGCAACAAAGCAGCTTACAGCCATTGCAACCCCCCTTCCCTCTTGCCATCCCCTCTCCCTCTGCATGCGTATTTCCCTGGAAGCAGGCACAGACCGAAGCAATGCGGTGATGCTGGGTGACACGGGGCTGTTGAAGCGGCTGCTGGTAAACGGGGTGAACCCCAACGCTGCAGACTACGACCTCTGCACGCCCCTTCCCCCTCTTTCCATCCCTCTCTCGCCTCCCATGCATCCTTTCCCCCCCCACGCATCCTTTCCCCTCCCAGGAAGCAGGAACGGACCTGTGCAATGCCGTAATGCGGGGCGACACAGGCCTGTTGAAGAGGCTGCTAGTGAACGGGGTAAACCCCAACGCGGCAGACTACGACCTCCGCACACCCCTCCACATCGCATCGGCCGAGGGGTTTGTCCAGGTGGCGCGGCTGCTGGTAGAGCACGGCGCTGACGTGGCAGCCGTGGATAGGTGGGGCAACTCGCCGCTGGACGAGGCGCGCCGATGTGGCAGCCTGCCATTGATCCACCTGTTGGAAGAGGCCATGCGGGAACGGGGCATTGTGATTGGTGGAGAGAGTGGGGATGACGATGGTGATCAAGGGAAAGAGGAAGGGGGAGGAGGTGGACAAGTGGGACAGGGAGGAGGGGGAAAGGATAGGGAGAAGGGAGAGGAAGCAGGGGCAGGGGCAGGGGCAGGGGCAGGAGAAAAAGGAATTGCTGCTGCTGCAGTTGCTGCAACGGCTGCTACGGGGGCGGCCGCTTCCTCTTTCAATGCTTCTGCTGCTGCGGGAGCATCCCCTATCCCAGCAGAACCCACTGCTGCTTCTCATACTACTGCCATTCCCGCGCCTGTTCCTGCCACCACTGCTTGTGGTGCTGCTTCCTCTGCTACTGCTGCAGCAGCTGACGGCACTTCCCATACATCTACCCCCTCCCCCCTCCCCCTCCCCCATTCTCATTCAGAAGAACCTCATGATACCCCCACCCTTCCTTCCATCCCCCTCCCTCACTCTCACTCCCTCACCAACTCCCATCCGTCCTCCCTCCCTGCACCTGCCGATGCGGACTGGGACCGAATCACCGAAGATGGCTCGGCAACTCCCCGAATCAACATGTCAGGCTCGGTAACGCCGCTCCTGAGCGGGTCCGGCACGCCCCAGTGGAGAGGTCCGGGAGGAGCGTCACCTGGGAGGGCGCAGTGGCGGCCCCCTGGGGGTGCTGGGGTGAGGAGGACAGGGGGACGGGCCGGAGGGATGGGGTATGGCGGTGGTGGTGCTGCTGGTGGCGCTGGCGGTGCTGGCATGGGAAGGCCTGTTCCTCTGGGGCCGAAGGTGAGATTGTGAAGAGTTACCTCTCTTTTCTTCTTCCTCTTCTTCAATGTGACGGTGTTTCTTGTTGTCTGAATTCTATGTCCCTGACCTTAGTTTCTTTCCCTTGCTTATGTGCTCCGTTCGGAAATATGTAGTCTCCGACGTACAGTTGCCAACTTCTGTATCCTACCAACCACCTCCATTTCTTCCAACTCAACCCCCCGCCCCTCTATCCTTCCTTCCACATTATTCGACCTGCCAGAGAATTACTGTGTTTCCCTTTCCCCCATGGGAGCTCAAGCCGCAAAGAGTTGGCCAACTCATGCCACTCCCGCCCTCCATCCCTGATCTCCTAGCAACTGCCTCCAACATCTTTGGTGCGCCGTTTGCTGGTTTGGTTGGGAGCGATTCGGGGGTTGTAACTGCAATTGAGTTGATCCGAGACGGGGATAAGTTATTCCTATTGAAGGCGAATGAGTTGCACGGTGGTGGTACACTTTCAACTATTCAAAGTGGAAGTGCTCAGTCAGGTGGGCAGTAGAGGTTTATGCATGTTGTTGGGCTGAGAAAAGCCCTTAGGATCTTTTGCGCAGGTGTCCTTGTCTGCTGCTGCTGGTCGAAGTGTGACATGAAGCTGAAGAATCTCTCCATGAGATTCGGGTCCACACTTGAAGAGGGAGACGGAGTCACCATCTCTGGTACTCTTCCCGTTGTTTCTTGAGTAGTCCCGGTCTCTGTCTGCAGTCCTGAGGTGTGCAGACCAGAGTTGCCGTGTTGAGTTTCTTGGGCGCTTGGTGAGCCCGTAGAGACTTTCTTGCCCTTGTTGTCCATGTCTTGTAATCAATGGAGTTGTTGAATCAAGTTGAGTTGCTGGTTGTTGATGGAGTGTAGTTGCTGGGAGTTTTGGTGTCTGACCAGCTCTCATACCATGTTGGGCTGAGAAAAGCCCTTAGGATCTTTTGCAGAGACTAAGTCCCAGCTGTAGAGACTTGAGACTTTGAGTAGTGCAGCGGAAGTTGAGACAGTTGAACCCTTGTACTAGTATGTGAGAACAAGTGATTGATTAAAGAAACAAGCATACAGCAATATATAGAAGATAAGAAAGCAGTTGCAGAGTACAGTTACAGGAACGGTTTATCGAGTCGCATAGCGACTCGATTGCCGCTTCGGTTACCATCCGTGATGCTGTAACGGTCAGTCGCAACCTCCAGTTGCGACCCTTTGAGTCCCAGACCCTTCGTGTTCTTTGTCCGCCCCCTCGTGTAACCTCCGTTGACTCGCGTACCCCTTGCAATCTTCCTCGAGTGTAGTGTTACACTTCAGAAACGCTTAAGTCTTTTGATGTACTTTCAACACTCCCCTTCGTTTCTGGAGTGCTGACTTGTTCAGGTCCGATGACGTTTGTTTGTCCGGTCAGCACCATGCAGTATTCGAATTTTGCCTTCGCCAATTTCTTCGTCAAATAGTCTGCGGCCATTTCTGTCGTCGGGCAGTAACTGAGTTGAAGTCTCCCCTTCGCGATTTCATCCTTGACGAAGAAGTACCGCAGGGCGATGTGCTTGGTTCGGTTGGCGAAGCCGTCCTTGTTTGCGATTTTGATCGCAGATTGGTTGTCGCAGAAGAGTGAGAAGGCGGGCAGGGTCGCGATCTTCGCTTCCTCGAGTAACTCTCGCAGGTAGAGTCCTTCCTTGGTCGCGGTACAAAGGGCGATGTACTCTGCTTCAGCAGAGGATAGTGCGATTAACTCCTGCTTGCTCGACTGCCAGGAGATAGTTCCGATGGGTTCTAGTCGGTAGATGTAGCCCGTCCTAGATCGTCGATTTTCCCTATCTCCCGCGTGGTCGGCGTCGACGTATCCGAGTAGTTGTACGGACGATGTTGTCGCTTTGCTGTAGGTAAGTCCGATCGTCGGCGTGGAGATGAAGTAGAGTAGTGCCCGGTTGAGCTCCTCGAGATCCTCCTGTTCCGGTTGCTTCAGATGCGTCGCCAGTTGACTTGCACTATAGGACAGGTCGGGTCGGCAGGTTACTGCTGCAAATAGTAGGCAGCCGAGCTTCTGTTGATACTCCTGGATTTGCTTCGCGGGGAGTTTTGCGGAGGCGCTGTTGTTGTTTCCGTAGCGGTAGGGAGTTGAGGCGGTAGCCGGTGTTAGTCCGAATTTCTTCGCGACTGTCACAGGATCGAATGACTCGAGGAAAGGTTGCACTATCGATCAGTACAAGGCGCTTTTATACTTCCAGAGTACATCAGGTAACCAGGTTTTATCCTATCCAAAGGAAATAGACCCTTCTAGAAATAGAATCACCCTGCGTATAGCCACGCGAGGCTATTGGCTTTAAGGGATTACGGCAGGATTACGCTAGATAGCGTGTCTAGAACATTCCATGCCTGGTCGGTGATATAATTATAATAAGGGAAGAAACCAAAGGATAATGGAAAATGGGGAATATGAGACCAAATGAGATGAGATAAAAAGAGGAATGAAATGAAGAGGAAATATGGAAAAGGCCAAGTGGTGTAACGAGGTCGTACTCTCACACTTCCCCCCCTCAAAGCTGGGTGGTAGAAGTAACACCCAGCTTGACAAGGTAGTCATGCAGAGGACGCCGGGCGTTACCCATGTCGGTCTCAGAGACCCAGCTGTCTTCAGAAGGATCATAACCCTTCCAGCGAATAAGAAGCTCCACGGTGCCATTCCGACGACGGCGGTGTGCAAGCACGGACTCGACCTCGTATTCGGGTTCATTTTGGACGAGGACGGGCGGCGGCGGCGGCGGTTGGCGTCCGACGAAGATCGTGTTAGGATCCCGATAGGGCTTCAGAAGTTGGACATGGAAGGCGTTGTGAATCTTCCAGGTAGCTGGCAGGCGTAAGCGGAAGGTAACAGGAGTGACCTGTGCTTCAACGAGGAAAGGCCCGCAAAAGCGAGGTCGAAGTTTTGATGGGAGATGGCTGATGTCCAGGTTGCGGGTGTCGAGAAGCACCTGGTCTCCCACCGTGATGGTGTGGTCGTTGCGATGGCGATCGGCCTGGCGCTTCTGTTGCTGTTGAATGTCAAGGAGGCGCTTGTGGGTCCGATCCCAAAGCTGATGCATGGTGGTAATGAAATCATGTGCAGGTTGGACTGTTGCTGATGCTGTCGGTTTCTGTGGTGTGAGTGGGTGGCGTCCGTAGCAGAGGAAGAACGGCGTCTGTCCAGTAGCGGCGTGTGGAGCGTTGTTGTAGGCAAACTCTAAAACAGGCAGGCGCAAGTCCCATTTGGAGATCTCGTCCTTGCAGGCTGCTCGGAAGAGTTGCTCAACAATTTGGTTAAGGCGCTCGGTCTGTCCGTCTGTCTGCGGATGGTATGCAGATGACATGGCGAGTTTTGTCCCGAGGAGAGACATAAGTTCCTTCCAGAACTTGCTGGTGAACTTGGGGTCTCGGTCGGAGATGAGTGTAGTTGGAATGCCATGCTGTGAGATGATGAATCGAACGAAGAGTTGTGCTGTCTCCTCGGTGCGTGCTGTCGTGTGCGTCGGGATGAAGTGTCCCATCTTAGAGAATTTGTCGATGACGACGAGGATCGCGTCATGACCGCTGGTGGTAGGTGGTAACCCGGTGATGAAATCCAGGCTAACCACTTGCCATGGTTGTTTTGGGACGGGAAGAGGCTGTAGCAATCCTGCTTTCTTCTGCTTACTGCTCTTCACCCGTTGACATGTATCACACGAGGTGACGAATTTCTGAACATCATCTGCCAAGTGAGGCCAGTAGTAGTGCTTTGCGATACCGGTCAGTGTCTTGTTGCTACCGAAGTGTCCGGCGTAGAGGACGTCGTGGTATTCTTCCAGTAGTAACTGGCGCAAAGGAGGGTGATTGGGTACCCAGATTTTCGTTGATCCTTTCCGGTACGCGATGTCACTGTCCCACTGTAGGAGATGTCGCTTTTCTGCCAAGGGAATTTCGGGGTCGATGGTATACCCGTGTGTGAAGAGTCCCTTGAGTAGTGGATTCATCCCTTCGACCTGAATAGCGGCAACGTGTGCAGGCCGGCTAAGGGCGTCTGCTTTGTTCTTGTGGCCGGGCTTGTACACGATGTCGTAGTGGAAGTGCGTCTCGAGAAAGTCGATCCACCGGACCTGCCGCCTGGAAAGGTTAGGTTGTGTCTTCAAATATTTTAGGCTGCAGTGGTCAGTGTAGACGGTTGTTCTGCGTCCTTCGAGGTAGCATCTCCATGCTTTGAAGGCGATGACAATAGCAAGAGCCTCTTTGTCGTGTATCGGGTAGTTTAGTTCTGCCCCGTGCAGTTTCTTGCTGAGGTAGGCAATTGGTTGCAGTCCATTCCCCTGGTCTTGCATCAAGACTGCCCCCACGGCCTGATCACTGGCGTCTGCTTCAATGACGTAGTCACGTTCGGGATCTGGCAAGATGAGTACCGGTGCGGACGTAAGTGCTTGCTTCAGCTGCTCCACGGCTTCCTGGTGCTTCGTCTCCCATTTGTAGGGCGTGTTCTTCTTCAGCAGATTCGTGAGTGGTGCCGCGAGTTTCGCATACTGTGGCACGAACCTGTTGTAGTAATTAGCGAAGCCTAGGAACTGCTGCAACTCCTTCACGTTCTCGGGTGTCTTCCACGTACGTACGGCTTCGATTTTCTTGGGGTCGACGTGAACTCCTTGAGCGCTCACCATGTGTCCTAGAAATTGGACCTTCTCCAGGGCGAATTCGCTCTTGGACAGTTTGACGTAGAAACGTTCACGCCGAAGAATTTCGAAGACGCGTCGCAGGTGTTCGACGTGCTGCTTCATGTCGCGCGAGTAGATGAGGATGTCGTCCAGGTACACCACCACGCATTCGTCCAAGAGTGGTCGTAGGATGTGGTTCATTTCTGCTTGGAACGTTGCCGGTGCGTTGGTGAGTCCGAACGGCATTACTAGATACTCGTACGATCCGTACCGAGTTCGGAAAGCAGTTTTGTGGATAGAGTTGTCCGCCATCCGTATCTGCCAGTATCCGGACCGCAGATCCAGTTTGGAAAATACCGTAGCTCCCCGAAGCTGGTCAAGCAGGTCATCGATTCGTGGTATCGGATACTTGTTCTTGATGGTCTGCTTGTTAAGAGCTCGGTAGTCGATGCACATGCGCAGGCTTCCGTCCGGTTTCGGTGTGAAGAGTACTGGGGCACCGTATGGTGAAGTAGATGGTCGGATGAGTCCTTTGGCTAGGAGATACTCGATCTGCTTCTTCATGTCGGTCAGCTCTGTAGGGCTGAGTCGATATGGTGCTCGGAAGGTCGGCTTCGAACCCGGTTCCTCCACGATCTCGTGTTGATGCGTGCGGTATGGCGGTAGCTCGTTCGGTAGGTCGTCAGGAAGGATGTCTTGGAACTCCTTCAGCAATTCCTTGATTTTTCCTGTAGGTTCCGAGATCTTCTCCTTGCCGTCTTCCACCTCTGTTGCTATTGCCAGGAACCCGGTGTCGGTTCGTTTCACATCCTTCTCGAATCGTGCGAGTGTCTCCACTGGGATATCTCCTGTATCGTCCCAGTTGGGTAGCTGTACTCTCCGTCCATTGTTGTAGATGCTTGCGGTGCGGTTCACCCAGTTGATCTCGGGGTTGAATCTTTTCAGGAAGTCTCGCCCGAAGATCAAGTCAAGCCCTTTGATGTTGGTGATGGGGAGTGCAGGTCTCCAGCGCAGTGGTCCAATTTGTAGGTGTAACACTGCTTCGCCGTGCACTGGTAGCTTGCTGCCATCCACCATCGTTGCAGAAAATCCCGAAGGCTTGTACTCTTCTCGAAGTCGGTCGATTGCTGCCTTGTCGCAGACGGTGTGAGACGCTCCGCTGTCCACGAGTGCTTGGAGGCGTCGTCCTTTGCAGATGACCTCGAGCACGAGAGGCGGCGTTGCTCGGAGTACCCAAAGATAGTTTCATTAATGGGGTCATAGGGTACATCCCAATAGTCCGTACACACCTTTTCGTTGCTATCTGCTCCTGAGCTAGCAGCTGGCCAAGGCTGCTTGGAGAATG